GAAAATTTGTGAAACTATATTTTTTTAAGTGACGAATAAGATGCGTGTTGCAATTTCAGCGTTGGTCATAGTGGGAAATACTGAAATCGTCATAGGGTCAGTTGTTCTAATATAAAAAATAGAGGCTGCTTAATTTTAATAAGTCTTACATCTACGGTCAACAGTTACTTGTGCCTTTAAAGCATCCACGAGTTTTAATAGGAAATTTTTTAAATAATTAAAAATAATCATCGAGGTTCGCGATGATCATTTTTGATGACAAACCCATTACCAAATGGATTTAATTCTTTCCATTACAATATGTATAATATAATGACAGTAATAGTTTCATTTTAGGAATATGCTTATAAATTATTTAAGGGCAAATGTTTTATTCTTCCAATTTCATTGAAACTTGTGAATCTATATATAAGTTGAAGTCGTCAAATTGTTCCAATAGCTGTTACAGATTCTGATTTATAAACACATCATTTTGACCTAAAAACTAGCTTTCTTTAACCAGCAAAGGATTATATTAAAGATGGTCCAACAAATTAGCAAATTCGGCACTTTTAGCAGCGCAAAAAATAATAAACTTCAGAAGTCATCATTTTTTATCATTTACTAAAAGTACGTTCCCGGTTTAGTTAATTTCAGTGGCTTTCCAATGTTGCTAACAAGGGAACTTAATTTAGTTTTATTAAAATTACATAAATGGAGCAAATGACTTTGAACCATCATCTCTGAAGTTAATTAATAGTCACCCAAAGTTGGCAATATTTTTGAGTTATTTCAAAATTAATTAAATTACTTTAATTAGATAATGCCTAAATAATAGTTTAAGGCTGAAGTTGGGTGGTGCCATATTAGCAAAATTTTAAATAATGATGACAATAACTATTAAGATATTTGCAGAAACATTTTCCAAATAATATTAACAAAAACTCTATAGAATTTAAAAATAATCAACGGCATACAACAAATTACATTAAAAATCGTCACTTACCGCTTTCATGTTGGAAGCGGTTGTTACTGATTATGGTCGAAAACTGTATGTCTTATTTTGAGTTTTTTCAGTTTATATACTTTTTTGCCACACCCACTAAAAATCTATGTCCACAGAAAGTAATAATTTCAACATTTGGATTTTTTGTGTTTTTATATTTAATTTTTCCACTTATTAACATTTATGAAGCGAAAAATTAATATTCCTACTAACAATAAGAACTAATCATATCAGATTTCACAATCAACAATCATAATCGAGTGCTGTGGGTCGATTTTAATCGATACTTAATATATGATAATGTATGTGAGAAAATTGATAAATATAAATAAAATCAATCAAAATTACAATAAAGCCCTAACAATCAAATTTCTTTGATTAAAAGTTTATTGAAGATACAGCTAACAGTAACTATGCAAAATTATGAAAGCCCTTCAAAAATTTATAGAACTTGTACCAATTTCGCAATAATATGAATCACTTATTTTCTAAATGTGAAGTGTTGAATGGATATTACAAAATTGATCCAGTCTGGTATTTTAGTTCTAATCCGACAATCGCTTTCACAATGAAACAAGTAAGTGTATTTTCTTAAATTTTGAATTATTCTATCTTTACATGGTGTCAAGATATATAAATTTTTAATAAAACTAGTACTGTATTACACCACGCTAATACCTAGTTAACAACTAATAATAAATAATTATCCTAAATAAAAATTGAAAATAATTTGTCTAAAGCACAAAAAAAATATTTTAAATATACTAAAACTGTTGAACAATTTTTATAACAACAACTTTTGCTATACTATTGTAATACGTGAGAATGTTAAGCAACAAACATTTTTAACTCTATTTATTATAAAAGAAAATATACTTACCAATGAATTTTTATATTTGGTAGATTTTTCAGAAACGAATCTAATTGATAAAACGTGTTAAACATGAGAGTGTAACAACTATGAGGGCTGATTTTAATTAAAAGGCACGAAGGACAGCGAGTTGGTGTTTTTTACCTGGCACTGTACGTTCGTGAGGCATAGTTTGACTTTGAACGACATCGAAAGGTCGCGGATGGCGTTTTCTTGTGTAATATATATATACGGGGTGGGCTGAAATTCTGGGACGGGATATAGCTGAACATATGAGTGTATAGAGGGTAAAACTGATTGAAAAAAACATGTAAATCCAAATAGAATAAAGAATTATTTAATTATTACGTATTAGAGAGAAAATGTGACAAAAATTTACTTTTTAACAATGTATAGACGAGTTTTTTTGAAATAAAGTCGCAACTAACTTTTGTTCTACTATTCCAAACAATATAATACAAGGCAGATATTTTCAGCTTTGTGTAATAATTTTAATGTTAAAAAATTAACGAGTAGAAACTGAACATAAAGAGAAGGTATGCATTTAACACTGAAGAAATGGTGTAAATATGATATTTATTATTTTCAAATGATTATTTACATACAATTTCGCGGTCGTGGATGTGGATCGTGGAGTTTTGTACGTAAGAGAAATTTCGTTGGAAACTCAGTCGTTACATCTTAGCGAATAGCGTTATTGGACATTATAATTAGGTGTTTATTTTATTATTATTTAACAACACATATCAAATATGGACTTAAACAAAATTAGTAGTAATAGTAATGGGTGATTTTGAAATGGATGCAAAAAGATCATTTTCAGAACTGGAAATAGATAAAAAATCTATAATTTATTAAATCGTTGAGGTGAATTCCAACTTAGATGGGTGACATAGTGTAGACATTTAAAGACACTAAATGTAGAATATTTTGGGTTTATCTAACGGTTTTCACTTAAAATTTGAAAAATATCCCGTACTAATAACTGATATAATTATATGTTAGGCGTTCATTATTTGCATCAAATATCGATACAGCTATGCATAAGCTCGAAAGCAAATTACATTATATATAGCATATGAAAGTCTCCACATTGCAAATCATTATTTCATCAAAGACGGAATGAAATGGTAATGGTTTAACGTTGTGTACTGAATATCAATTTGGAAGAGTTTTGTAAAAAATGGTCAAATTAGGGTTAAAGTATAAGCTTATTTCCAATTTATTAGAGTACCTGCCTCCACCAACTATTGAAAAAATATCAACTATGGTATCAAGAGGGGGGATTAATTTAGTAATCTGAACGAAAAGTATATATGAGATAATGAATAAACACTACAATCTATGCAATACAACGTAATTTTATAGAATATGAATGAAAATATAAGAAATTTATTTCAAATGTACAATGTGTGCCACAAATGTACCCTAAAGAGGAACTTCTTTATTCGCCTATTTATGAGAAAATACATACAGCGGGTCTCGTTTTTCAGGTTAACACCTCTGGAAATATGGGAAGACTGTGACTTTCTGTAAACCAATTTTTTTACAGTTAGTACCCTGATGAAACGAGGTTATATTCTACTAACTATTTTATTGATGTGACTAAAACCTGGCCTACTACGATTTTTTAAAAGGGTCGTTTTTTCCAGAAAGTGGTATTAGTCATATATTTATCAAAATGTAATATTACCAGTCTATTCAACACCCATCAAAATACCCATATACCAAATTTGATCGACAAATGTCTATGGAGTGTTTTTATATGGGGTGCCAACTTCGCAAAATCAGGCAACTAAAAATTAAAATAAGCATGACAGTGAAAACAAGTACCAATTGGACAAATAAAGTTTTTTTTTACACTTTTAATTGCGGTTATAGTAAAAATAATAGTTAACGTACAAAAAATGTAATGAATTATAAATACTAAGTTGTTAAACAAAAAATTGCACATTAATCTAAATTAAATTTTAGTTTTATTCATCAAACCTCCATTCAGTCGAACACATTTTTACAATCGTTTTCTTAAATTTAAAAATACTTTACATAGCTGTTGTGAAGTAATATCTGTACAAGCTTGTTTTATGCCATTCATTAGGTAATCTAAATTCCTTGGTCTGCTTTTATAAACTTTTTGTTATATAAAACCCCAAAAGTAAAAGTCCATAGGGGACAAATCAGGGGATCTTGGTGGCCATTGTACTACTGGACTCCTCCCAATAATCCACTTATCCCGAAACTGGTACAGTGTTGTGAATTGAAGCTTCATCCAACTGTAAATAAATATTCCTTCTTTTCAATAAAGGAATATCCTGTATAATGTCCCATCATTTATTATTCATGAAGAAATACGTCACAATTTAAGTTATTATAAAAAAAGAAGGGACCTATTATCCTGTGCTTTGACATTCCGCAAAACACATTAACTTTCTGTGAATACTGCCCCTTCGCTGCAATTAGAAAATTAGGATTATTTTCATTCCAAAATCTGATGTTTTGAGAAGATACGATACAGTTTGTCGTATAGGTAGCTTCATCAGTGAAAATAATATTGGCCACAAAATTATGATCATTTAAATAATTTCCCTGTGCCCACAAACAAAATTCCATTCGCCTTGCCTCATCACCCTCTTCCAATGTTTGAAGAAACTTAGGCTTAAACGGCTTTATATTGTTTTTTAGACAACGATGAATTTTGTTTTTCGAACAGTTTAACACCAAACTGGCATTTCAGAGACTACTTTTTGGGTTATTACGAAAATATTGTAATATTACTTGATGCTGATTTATTGGAACAACAGTTGTTTTGTGGTATTCGGATATTGTTGCTCATTTTCGTGCCCTCTATCACCTTTTTCAAAAAACGCACTTATTTTTAAAACACCATACCAGAAACACCTTAAATTTGTTGTGTTTTATTTTTCCTTCCTACAACTTAGCCCGATAAGACCTAATTCATTCATACTGCATCCCTCAAATTTGCAGCGCTGCGTGTAACATGATATATTATGAATAAATTCTGTTTAAAAATTTTTTATTAAATAAATATTAGAGCCATAGTCAATACAACATGGTACTTTCAATTACATATATTTGGTACATTAGTTAAATAACATTATATAAATAGTTAACAGTATTTTTCTTTAATAGAAACAACTAATTTATAAATAAATTCACCAACAAATAAATTCTTTTAATCGGTTTAGTGAAGGTGATGAACAACATGTGAGGTTTTCACAGCAGGAACAGTATGGACAGTCTTAATCGGAACTACATGGGCAGCATGTACTATAGGAATTGCTTTGGCAGCTGGGGCTGGATGTGCAACGACACTACTATGACTAGAGACAACAGAATGGCCCACAACTGGAGCTACCACTCCTGCATAAGAAGTAGCCACTGCTACGATACTGAAGAGGATTATCTGAAACAGAAAAACAATATCAATTCAATCGATTATTCATTTAGATTCCATCTGATATAACTGATCCAATTATTTTTGCTCTTCTTTCCAACTGAATTATTAACAAAACAATGTGCATAAATCATACATCACGTGATGCTTTGGAAGAAAAAGGTCTTAACATTGCTCTCCCCTTTAGTCTTGATCTCGTGGTATGGAAAAAAGGTGTGAGGTTTCCACAGATTTGTGAAAGTTCAAACAGACAATTTGGTCAGATATATTGAACAATACAAAACTTTACTGACGTAGTTTTAACTCAATTTTTCTTTGGGCTAAAAGACATTATATACAGGGTGGTCCGAATTTTATGCAGGAAACTTCGAGGGCAGATAGATCTCTTTAAAATAATAGGCGTTTGCCTTATGAACATAGGTCGGGAACGGCCTGGTTTTAGAGATACAGAGTGTTGAAGTTGTTAAAAAAATTTGATTTTTTGTTTATATCTCCGGAATCTATTAACCGATCTCAATAAAATTTGGTACAGATAATGTATGGCAGTTGGCCTTGCATTCCCTAAAATATGAGCTTTAAAGGTTCAACCAGTGGTGTACAACTAGACAGGGGTCGCCCTCTTTTTATAAAAAAAACTACGCCACTGTATTTTTTACAAGTTATTGTAACGGATTTATATTCTAATGCACTAAATACGTAAAAAAGGTAACTTGAATTTTTTCCCTAAGATTCGCCGTTCTCAAGTTATTCGTACCAAAACAATCCCCTTGTGGCAGACAGTTCAAACCATAATATTACAGAATATTTATGTTTATGCTTAAAAGTAAGTGCAATTTGTTAGCAGATCAACAAAATTATTTCCACATCACCTGTGAAGTAGTGTTCCTAGTGTGTTTTAGTTTCCCCTGGAGGCTTAATCCACTATCTACAAATAAGAACAATTTAAATCAAAATAATAATAATAAAAATACATTTACCAAACAACAACAATTAAACAAGAAACGAAATTAACGTTATGTATTTGCAGCAATTGTTCAAAATGCGAACCATGCACATCGATATATTTTTGACAACTTCTATTAATGATTAATGGAATTACCTAACTAATATCACATATTACTAACTAATATCACGTGGTGGTTTTCTTTTAACTCATTACACCCGTCTTCTATTCGCTGCACTACGACCTCAATCGTTGTGGTATCTATTGGAGTAAAGTAAACTTTACTTTTCAGAGAGGTAACCCCAAACATAGAAGTCCACGGGGTTTAGATCTGGCGATGTGTATGGCCAAGACACTGGATTCTCTGTACCATTATGGTTAACATTGGCATTTGGTTATCAACCTATCCATCGCCCCATATGATTTTTAAGCCATTCTTTTATTATTCTCCTAAAATGCACAGGAGCACCATCCATTTGTATCCAGCTGTTTAGTGGTATATTTAATGGAACATCCTCTAATAATTGAAATAGATAATTTTCTAGGAAGTTTAGAAATTACTGGGAATTTAGATGGGATGACAAGAAGAAAGGTCCGAATTATTCCGAGCCACACATTCACAGAAAATTCGTGTTGAAAAGATCTTGTCCGAATTTCATGAGGATTTTCTTGTGACCAAATATGGTGAATATTCACTACCCCTCGCCTTGTGAATGTAGCCTCACCGATCCAAAGTATTTCTAGTAAGAATTCTGGATTATGTTGTGACTTTAAAACAACCACTAACAAAAATTCAGGTGTGTCTACATCTCCCGGAAGTAAATTTTGCACAGGTTGTAAATGGTGCGGATTTCTACCATCCTTATGTAGAACTTTTCAATTTTCGATTTACTCACCCCAAGTTGCCGAGACGTTCTTCGTGTACTTAGCCGAGGATCGTCGTCAAATGTTCTTAAAAAATTAATTTCTGTGCCTTTCATTGCGCCGTCGTGATTTTCCAAATATCGTTTTAATCCAAAAAGATGAAAGCGACGAGTGTAAAGAATTTTGTTGATGTGCTTACAAATTTCACTTACTTTTAAGCATAAACATAAATATTCTTGTAATATTATGGTTAGAAGTATCCGCCACAAGGAGATTGTATTCGTATGAATAACTTGAGAACGGTGAACTTTAGGGAAAAAATTCACGTTACCTTTTTTACGTATTTTGTACATTAGAATATAAATCCGTTACAATAGATTGTAAAAAATACAGTGGCGTAGGTTTTTTTTATAAAAAAAGGGTGACCCTGTCCAGTTGTACACCACTGGTAGATCCTTTAGAGCTCATATTTTAGAGAATGCAAGGCCTACTGTCATCCATTATCTGTACCAAATTTTATTCAGATCGGTTAATAGATTCCGGAGATATAAACAAAAAATCAATTTTTTTTAACAACTTCAACACCCTGTATCTCTAAAACGAGGCCGTTCCAGACCTATGTTTATAAGGCAAACACCTATTATTTTAAAGAGATCTATCAGCCCTGGAAGTTTCCTGCATAAAATTCGGACCACCCTGTATA